CGGGGGCTGTGCGCGCTGCGAGGTCCTTTTCTGCAAGAAGTGCGGCACCCTACACAGCCACCCGGCCTACGTGGCACACAGTGTCCTGGAGCACCCGGATCTGGGTAGGGCGGAGGCCGCCGCGGGCTCTGAGCGCCCCAGCTCTCAGCCTTTGTGTCCTCCATCCTCGCCTGACCCTCAACTCCCCTGACGCGGAGCCCTCGCCCGAGCACCCATCAGGCAGGGTGTCCCCCCGACCCCTCCACCTAGACGGGCTTTAGTCGTGCAGAGCCCGGCATAACCTGGCGCCTGCGTAAGGCCCTCCCGACCCAGGTCTCGACGCAGCTTCGCTCATCTCCAAGATGGGCAGAGGCGGCGCTTCGGGGACACGACCTCGGGGTTCCCTCCAACTGCTCCTTCCCTCGAGGCATTCAATAAAGCCTCCCGGCAAAGTGTCTGTGCTTTGAAGTGTGGGTAAGGCGGCTGCACGTGGGAGTGATGAAAACTGGGCGTTCCTTCTTCCCGGGGCTCAAGCCGGAGAGAGAAGGGCGGCCAGGGAGCCTCCTCCTTCGCCTTCTCAGGACTGGGCTGCACAAAGCACTTGCTCCAAAGGAGCACAGAGAAGGCCAGGCAACGCCAGGCCGGCAACGCCTGGGAGAACCTAGGAGGCGCTGGCAGGTGTGTGTGTTGGGGAGGGCAGGGAGAGGACTGCAGAACCGGATGCTAAAACAGACTTCTGTTTTGGCTGAGGAACAAGACAGGGCTGCTCGCGAGCTGGTTCCTTCTGCAGGAATCCCAGCTATTCTTGGCCAGACAGCAGGCGTTTCGGGAATGCTGCGTGTGTGGTCTCAGAATGGGGCCATTGTGAGCACCAGCCCCCACCCCACCCCACCCCACCCCACGGGCTTCCTGGAGGCTGCTGCACAGTGCAGACCCCCAGGGAGCTTCTGATAGCTCCCTGCTGCGCTGGGCTCTCCATCTGGCGCAGGAGGGGTAGTGGGGGTTGAGGACTTTTGCTTCCTGGGGAGAGGCAGGCCTCCTCTCTCATCACAACTAGGAACAGCTGGCCAGCCCTGGCTTGGGTGGAAGAGCATGGTTCCGGCTTCTCCCACGTCCACGCCCACCTGCTCTCCCAGAAAGGATGGAGAACTACTTCAAAAAGGCTGCTTGCTGCTTCCAGGGCCACCAGCTGGGGGCGCCTCTTCATTCTTTCCCAGACACAAAGCCAGATCCAGGAGGTCCACATCAGTCTCCTTTCCGCCCTGCACCCTGATCCGGCAAAGGGTCTCTGAGGTTGGAGACATCTTGTGCCTTTACCCCAAGCTTCCCGGGGCTGAGGGCTTTGATTATAAAGGACACAATTTTCTAGGAACTGAGCCAGCAGGCCCTAAGAGAAGGGGAGTGCTTTGCAAAACAGTCTGCAAGCTTTCCACTGAGTTTTGCATTCTCCCTGCTTGGAGCCCAGCACGGTCAATCCCCAAAGCTTGAGGACAGTGGTCCTTGAAATGGGCTGAGGATCTGGGACCCTTTGTTACCTTTCCTTCGATGGATCCACCCCTGTGTCCATATAGAGGAAACAGCACAAAGACAATGCCGCCTTCTCTGGGAAATAAGTGCAGACAACTCGTACAAGCTTCCCAGGGGCGACTTTGCTGCCTGCTCTTCCGCAGGGAGGCTCAGAGACTTCCAAGGCAGGGTCTGCCCTGGGACAGGAGAGGTGAGTTGGCCTCAGAGCACCAACATTCCTGGGGGGACCTTCAGAACAGGGCACCCCCTGAGTTGTCAAGCCAACAGCCCATCCAAGGCAGCTCAGTGGCCCAGCGGCCCGAGGTGGTCACTCGCAGTTTGGCTTGGTCGAGGTGCCAATAATGGTCATCTCTGAAGAAGATGATGGAGCCATCAGGTCTTGGCAGGGCTCCACTGGCCTCCTCCGGGACACCGCCCCAGTCCCGCAGGAAGCGCGGGTAGTAGGGCTCTACTTGCAGCCCCCCGCGGGCCAGCATATAGTAGCGGGCACCCTTGAAGAGGATCAGGCGCTGCAGAGGAGGGAAGAAGAGGGCCGCATCGGGGTGGCGGGGCAGGCCCCCTGCCCGGCACAGTTGGGAGGAACCCCACACTGACTTAGCACCCCGGAACCTCCAGCATCGACTTCCTGTGGGGCATCAGGAGAGACAGGGTGAGTTGGAGCCTTACACCCACTGGTCCTCCACCCACCTCTACCTCCTTCTGCTCCTCACCCTCTCAATATGGAGCCCAGCAGTTACTAGTACTGGGGACAGAGGGAATTTTACTAGGAATTAGCATGGTTACAGACAGTAGGAGAGGGACCGTTATAGCCTAGACCTCCAGCAGGAGGCAGCAGAGGGCAGGTGGCCCTCACCGAGCCTAACCATAGCAGCTGGGTAGCATGGGAGGCTGGGGATTTCTCCTTGGGTAAGTATGGAAAGTTAAGAAAGTCTGGAACTTTCTTCACTACATTACTATTGCTAATTTTATGAAGGCAGGGAGTTTTGTTTTATTCACTGCTATATGCCCAACACCTATGCTCAATATATAGAAACCACTCCATATTGACTGAATGAAGAAATGGATACTAGTAAACTATACACATTTTTCTTTCTTTTTTATGATACTACACGGGGCCTTTACACTGAGTTATATCCCCAGCTGGGCTTATCTAAGAAATACAAGCTCCAGGCCTGGGGATTTAGCTCAGTGGTTCCACCACCTGCCTTGCAAGCACAACAACCCGAGTTCGATCCCCGGTACAAAAAAAATAGAAAGAAAAACAAATACAAGCTCCAGAAGTTAAATGACACCTCAGCCCCACACAGCCAGAATCCATGGTAGACGGCTCTTCCTGCTGAGTTGTCCTCTGCTCCCCTCAAACCTTCTGCGACACACTCCCCAGAACCACCCTGGCACCTGCTGCTGCCTCGTCCATCACTGCCAAGTCTCCTGGAAGGGTCTTCCTGGGTCACAGACCCTCCTGGGGACTCGCTGTATGGGACTGCTCCCCTCCTCTGACCCCAGACAGGACTCTTCCCCTAGCCAAGCCACAGTTCCCTCAGCTGTCCCAGGGCTGGTACCTTTGAAGAAGTAGAAGTCTCCATCGTCCAGCGTCACTGCAGCAGCCTCGATGTTGGGGGGCAGCCCTGCCCACCTTTCCTGCAGCAGGCAGGGCTCTGAGACATTGCCATCAGGGGATACCTCCCAGAAGTGGCTCCCTTTAAAGATGTACAGTCGCTCTTGCCCGTCTGCTCGGATACAAGAGAAACTTGAGAAGTGACAGTCAGCCTCCTGCCCTCTTTCCGGCATGGTGCTGCTGTCCTAGAACCCAGCTTCCCAAACCGTCAGACAGTGGTGTGGCAGGCACAAGGGGACAGAAGGGACGGGCAGGAGGAAGCAGCAGCACCAAGCTTGGTGTGGGCTTGCTACCCTGCAGACTGAATGCGGCCTGGGCACTCTTGGCTCTGGAACCCATCCTTCCACCTGTACTCCAGCTCTGGGAAGCTCGGAGATGCGGTGGCAGGGGGAGAGGGGAGAAAAGAAAGAAGCCAGGCACAGGTGGGTCCATCTTACCTACAGTGATGGCATCGAAGGAAGAGTGGCAGTACTTAGGGCTCTGGGTTCCAGGGCGCCTGCCTTGGGAGTTGTGGGGGTTCCAGGCCTCAAAGTCAGTGAACAGCTTTCCTGGGAGCTGGGTGCCCACTGAGCCCCCCAGGGGCTTCCCTTTAAGGGCAAAAAGAGAAGAGGCAAACAAGAGACATGGACGGCTTATGTTGGAGGCTCAAGACCTCGACCGCCCTCGGTTCCTTTCCTGATCATCTCAAGTGGAGGGGCTGGGAAGGAGTGAGGGCTGGGTAAGAGCTGCTCCAGTTGGCGTTATTCAAGACTGGGAATCTCCTCTCTCACCCAATAACCTGGGAAAGAGAGCTACTGAGATACAGTTGGAAGGTGGGACCAAGCAAGGATTTGGAGCTAAGAAGGATAGGGTTCTTCTCCCTAGTCCAGGGCAGTGGGCACAGGAGGGCAGGGTTCAGGGTCCCAGGCTGTGATAATGACACTTGTGGGTTCATCACTATCCTTAGGAGTGAGGCAGAGTCCAAGCTTTCACACTAGCTCCTGAATTCTGGTTTGCAATTTTCCAGCTGTGTGACTTCAGGCGAGTTACCTCATCTCCCCAAACCCCATTCTCTTCGGTCTGCGGACGTATTGTAAGTATTTTAAATATCTGGCCTGTGAGAGACACTCTTTAGATAGCAGCCATCACTATTATGTTGTGCAGGTTTCCCAGCTTACAAATCACGTTCGGCCCCTTCCCACAGAAGGTAAGGCTGAGTTCTCAGGAGAAATGCTTTGCTCAGGAGAATGTGCTAGTCAGGGATGGAGGTGATCTGAACCCTGGCTCAGTCCCCGGAATCTGAGGGAGGCACGTTCCGGGCGGCAGCACTGGTGGAGACCTGGTCGGCCCGCTCTGGGGGAAGCACCTTGTCTGCTCCCGCCTCCTGAGGCCCAGACTTGGAGACATGGCACCAGCGGTGTTCTGGGTGAGAGGCCAGAAGAGAGCAGGTGGGGGTCGGGGCAGGGACGAGGGCGGCAGGCAGGCTACGTTGGGTCTAGGGAGCCCACAGGGACGTGATGTGACAGCAGGAGTCCGGGAACTGGAGCCGTAAGGAAAGAGGTGAGGGGAGCGGCACCTGGGAGTGGGCTGGGATTGTGGAAGGCCCGGGAGGGGGCTGGCCGGCGCCTGAGTCAGGATTCTCAGCTTTAGGATTGGCAAGGGAGGCGAGGGGACAGGGAGACCTTGCTCCTGTGCTCAGGGTGGGGATCCTACTCGAGGATTCAGCGTCCAAGCCCTGGAGGCCTGGGCCACAGGGGCAGGACAGCGGCTGGGCTCGGGAGCTCACCATACAGGTTCTGCACTGCCAGTACGTCGTCCCAGCTGAGCAGCGCGTCGCGGCCCAGCCTCTTGTAGTAGGGCGCCATGAGCGCGCGCGGCGCGGGCGAGTGGGCG